AGACTATTTTTATATTATATATCTCAATATAAGCTGAAACCAACTTACCACACCAATCAAAACATTGATTTAAAGGAAATAAGACAGATCTCCTCATAAAATCACAAATCAAGCTACCATACAAACTGTAGCAAGTAACTCAAAACTAAAAAAAGAAATAGGTTTAGACAACCATTTAAGAAAGCCAAGACAAAAGGACAGAATATACAGAAAGATGTGTGTCACACTAGATTATTTGGTTCAATGCTCACAACCATTAATGATGTCTGGGGCTCAGGCCTGGCTCGAAGGCCTCTGCCACCCAGACTGTAACCAGGTACGTATCTCTGTTTCCCGTTCTACCTATATTCGGTTGGCCAAAAAGTCTGTTTAGTTTTTTCTGTAAAAAAAGATCTTTACTAACTACCATTAATATTTATTGAACCCTTATTAACTATTCTCCAGGAATTATGCTGAATGCTTTTGTTTCGTGAGGTGCTATGTGATGATTTTAAAGGTCAGGAATATGGGGCCCAGGGTGCTGTCTTGTTTGAGATCACATGTTTAAATGTAGAGATGGGGGTTTGAACCATCTTTGACTCAAAGCCCATGCATGCACTTCACTCTATTGCAACTATTCACTCTAAATGCAACTATTGGGTTAGTCCAAAGGGTCTGTTTAGTGTTTTCCGTAAAATAAAAGACACAGCTTTCATTTTCACCCATAACTTTATTGATTTGGATATTTCGAGTGTGTCAGCTAACGCCCTCTATTGACTTCTAGTTTGAAGAGGCCAGGGGTGCTGATAAACATCTCCCAGTGCATAAGACAGCCCCACAGCAAAGGATTACTTGGCCAGAATGTCAGTAGTGTCAAGAAACTTCACAAACCGCTGTTGACACATTCGCTCAGTCAGAGCACATTCTCCATACACTGCACAAATCTTTCTTTTTGTGTGTGTGTTTCAGTTGCATTTTTACCTTTCTTGAAACAATAAAGCATAATATGTCAAAAATTGTGGCATATCTTCTTCCTCTCCAATATTGAAATGGCTGCACAAAAATTCACCGATTTTGATATATTTTTTAAAATGTACACTGATATGACAGCTGTCACAATACAACCTAACAAAATTGTTTCAAATGAAGTTAAAGACAACTAGGCACTACTAGAACCACCGTATGGAAAAAACTAAACAAACTCTGGCCAACCCAATACCTTCTACTCCTGTCAGCCTATAACCACACCCCAGTCATTTCCATCTCCATAGCTCTGCTCTCTTATCTGCAGCAATGTACACTCCACCTGTCTTTCAAGCCAGATATATGCAACATAGGTCCTCATCAAGCCCTCCCCTGGTCTGACAGCATTCCTGATCAACCAATTTAGCACTTAGTTCCTCAAATGTTCCACAACTGTGTCATGCAAGATAGCCTTATGATGAACCCCAGCTCTGTTCACTATGGGCAGAACATGAGGTTCCTGGAAGGACACAACAGTCAACAGTTAACTGATTAATATGGGTAAAAGAATGTCTAAAACTGCTAGTAAACTTAACACTCAGCACAAAAAAAGTAACTAAACCATAATAATTAAGTCATTCCTTCTTTAAAATGTCCTATCATTGCCTATAAAGCAGCACAGCGAAGTCAGTAAGATACATAACACTATCCATGCAACCTCACCTTTTTCCCAGCCTCAACTACCACGTAGGATAACTGCTCTAAATTATCTACTGAACATGTACCTGTTAATTTCTAATTTGAAGCCTTTAGTTTTACCATATCCTCCACATGAATTTTTATTTTTTTCCTGATATAAACAGGTCTTGCAAGGCATAGCTCAAGATTCACCTCTTAAGTCCTTCCTTCCCCAGAGAACACAGTATGGTCTCCCTTGTGTAAGGTTCCCAGGACACGGGCATCAATGATCTTATTACTTGTCATCGAGTACTTCCTTACAATATTTAAATGACTAAATGAGTCAAAGTAACTAAACTGAGAGCCATGGGATAAGGGGAGCCCATTCCATTCATGAAAGATCTACTTGGCGAGAGGTGAGAACAAAAAATGCGAATAAAAGTTTATAATCTGTGGTCCAAAGATCTGGGATTTCCCTGAATTTATCAAAAATTTTGGTATCAAAAGAATTATGTTCATTTTATTAAAGAACCATGGCTTTTGATCACATAGCAATAGAGAGATGTCCAGGAAGTAATTTCCTGGATATTATACAGGTTTAGTTATCTGTGTATGAGGCACAAGTTAGTGAGCTAGCTCTAAAGGACTCACATATTAGAATATATGCTAGGCCTCAAAAAGTGGCTTCCAGACCTCTTAGAAGACCAGCTTCAAATTTTAGTTTTAGGAGGCATATTAATCACAAGGGGGTGGTTCTGAGATATTAAAGAGATAAAAAGCTCCCTGAAAACTTGGTCTGCTAAAGCAGAGCAGAAGACACAGAGAGGACAAGACCCAGGCCTTACTCTCAAGGAGCTTACAATCTAGCAAGGGCTACTTAGTAATCACAACACAAGGCAGAACATAGTGACTTTTTTTTCTTAAGCAAATTACAAAGCACTATGGAGTCCAAAGGAGACAGATGTGACAATTTTTTGATTTGGAGATCAAGAAAGTTCACAGCACTGGACCCTGAAGGAGAATGATTTAAATTAGTAGAAATGGAAAAGGGAATAAAATGTAATGAAAAGCAAAAGGGTAAAAAAGACGGTAGGGATAAAATGTAAGAACAAAACACCAATTTCCAATTAAAAAATGATCCTTCCTTCTTAACAACTACTGGCTTTTATGTAGTAGCCTTTAGGAAGTTAAAAGGTCTAAAAGGTACTCAGCAATTTTGGGCCAACGGTTCCCACTCATGCTATTAGGGTGTTCTGTACAAGAATGTGTAAAACAATCTACTCAGAAAAGCAAGAATTATAAGCCCATGAGATAAACAACAATGATCACAGCATATCATGGTGCTATCTCTGAGGACCAAAGCCCCAATGGTGCAGCAACCAAGACATCTACGGAAAGCCAGAACCCAACAAGAGTTTAACTTTCAAAATAATACTGTTCACTTTCAAAAACTGCTGAAATGGGATTCTTGGTGAAGGCACTCTGGGTTTTATAAATTTGAGTAGGTGTTATGTTTGATGTGATCATGCTAAACTACTTGTGGTTGTACAAAAGTATATTTCTGTTGTTCAAGTTCTAATAATTATCCAGCCTCCCAAAAAATTGGTAAAATTTTGAAACCCGAGATCAATAAATCAAAAGAGAATCCCACCTCTGAGTATGAAGTAAAGAACATGTAAATGAAAGAGAATCAGGTTTTCATTCATAAGACATTGGAGACAAATACTTCTTAAATAACAAGCAAAAGGTTCCATTGTGAATGGAAACTAAGAACCACAAGTAGCCACAGTTCTAAGAGTTGCTACAGAAATTCAGACATAAAAACAGAGCAAAAGAATTCATATAAAACATTTTTTTGGCAGAACAAAAAGTTTTATTATTTTTTCTTAATTTTCATTATTGACATTATTGCAGATGGCCAGATAAAACTTCTTAATATTAACTAGGTTAAAGGATCTGATTAGGAATAGCCTATACTCACAAACCTCAATTTAGACAAAGAAATTGCTAAATTAATTTTCTAAACTGGACGAGTTGAATTCTACACAAAAATATCATGTACCTGTATTTGCTGGTGTGGCACAAAGCATTTTGAAGTCTAGTATGTCTTCAGCACCTGAAATAATTTCTGGCTTCATGCAAAACTGGTGTTTTGAGGATTCATTGTGAAATAGGGCAAAACCACGAAAGACTATTTCTTATTAAGATGATAAAGAACACAGCTGATTCTTATATAGAAGAGGGCGTATCTACAGGGAACTACAGGAAAAACAATGTACACATTCAGTTTACTCTTGCTAAAAAAAAGTTCGGAATTAAACCTAACATATCCACCTGGTATGAGCAAAGAGCGTATGCACATCAGAAAATCCCTTAAAGGGGTCTCATTTTGTAGACTTCATATGGTTGACCCTATTTCCAGTAACCTATCAATCAAAACTCATTTAAAATTAGCTATTTATGACAACTAAAAGAACAGTACGGTACAACTGATCTCCTAAGACCATATGTCAATTTCCCCATCGATAAAGAATTTGTAAACTTCAAAGTAAGATGTTAACCTTTCGCACTGAGAAGTTCACATTTATATTCCAGTCCAAGATTAAGGCGTATCAGAAATGTAAGGCCCATCAAACGGCTTCCAGCCACAAGGGAGAACTTGTCAACAAGATTGAGAAGCTTCCAGCCCCCTTTTAGTAATTCAAACAACTAATTTTCATTTAAAAAAATAAAAAAGAATCAGTAAACCCTAGAGTTCGTCATACCATGCCTTCAAAACCAGAAGGTTCACATGCAATATTTTCCAAGCATTTATGAATAAAAGAGCCAAGTAATTTCATTGTAGATTCTCTGTTGATTTGTGTGTATTTTTCCCCTAATGAAATTCTAACTCTTCTGAAAGGTACTAGTTTTCAAAATGCAGTAACTCAATTAAAAGACATTACTAATAAGACGACCTAGCACAGGACTCCTGACAATGGTAGATAACAGAGTTTTTACTATTTTTAAAGCAAAACAAACCAAGAGCATCACAATCACGTTACTCTTCAGAGAGATTAAATTAGCATTCAAGAGGATTGTGTCACAAGAGGTAACATCACCTCACCCACTCTCCAGGCCCTGGGATTTAGCGATATAGGAGCTAAAGAAAACACTAGTAGAGAAGGGTGGTCTCTTGCCAACAACCTCAGCATGGGAATCAGCTTCTTGAGGGGAAGATATAGAGGCTTTGCAAACCCACATCACTGCTGGGCTAAGAAAGGATGGCTATCAATAGCCTAAAATAAGCCACCCTCCTCCCATTCCCCCCATTCTTAGTTACTTAAATAATGTGCTGGCTACAGGGAGAGTAGAGAGAGTGACAGAGACACACACAGTACCTGTTGTTGAGAATTGTAGTCAAAAAGTCCCACAGTTGCTGCTGCTGAGTCCACAGGTACCTGCGTGCCTGAATAATCAAACTGAAGAGGCTCCATGCCCACATGTTCCATGGGGTCCAAGGGGACACTCTGGGACTCCATGTTGGAGAAATCCTCCACAGGCTTGGCACCATTGGTGCTGGTCAGCTGGGCTAAGCCCTCAGAACCATTCTGGTTTGAACCCAGAAGATCCACTTCATTAGCAGAGTTCTGGCAATTACCAGGGGTACGGCTAAACAGAGAAAGTAAAGGGCATTAAACCTTATTTTGAGTGGGGAGGGACACTATAGCAAGCCAAGTTTAAGGACAACGTCCGTGACATAGGTTATTATCAATAATACTTAAAACTATTTTCTGCAAAACAACCAAGACCATTTATGGTGTTTCCATGTTATATCCTATAAAATGACTCTTCTATTACTTGCCTTCCCACCACAACCCAACCCTTAAATTTACATTTACTGCTGTTAATTTACAATCCCTTTAACCAAGGGACTCAGATTTGAGAAACACTGGATGAACTACCGAAGTCACTACTTATGGCATCCATGAAAACAGAGACCCCAAAATGCAGATAATAAAATACGTCCTCAAAATCAACATCTTGTTAAACACAGAAACAATAGAAAAGTAGTTTCTAAGGGGGAAGTTCCACATCTGAAAATAATTCTATTTTAAGAATAATAATTTTTATACAGGTAAAAAAAGTCAATGTTAAAACTGTCTCCCCTTCTCCCCTTCTAAAAAAACCAGAAGAAGTAGACCATTACAAAATAGTACAAAATATATTCATTATCTAGGATATGTCCCTGGTAAGGAGATAACTCTAAGAATTAAAAATAATATGGGGATATAATTTATCATCCAAACCAGGACACTCCTAAAGCAAAAAGGGGCACTATTAATACATACCCTGGGACACAGGTATAAATAAGTACTGTCACCCTACGCAAAAGGATTGCAGGACTATATGATTACAAATCAGACTAATATAGAGTAATATTATAATCTAGTCAGAGGAGTGTAACCTTTGACTATATTATATACATTTTATCTCTAAAATCCTACAACTGGTACAATTTAAAGCTAATGTTGTGTCCCTTGACACACACAAGCTCTACCACCACCGCCTGCCCCAAAGTCAAATACCACAGAACACTGCTACAGGCTGCTTGAGATACAGGATGGAGCGGCTACCCGAACTCATCTGAAAGACCTTAGGTAACTCTCTATAACTCTCTGCCTCAAATTTCTTCGAAAGACTTTAATCCTTTACACTCACAAGATACAAAAACTAGATTTGAAATATTAAGCAACTGAACACTGCTCTACAAATAATGACCCAAAATATATCATAATTTTGACATTGGTAGATATTAGTGTAAGATACATGTATGTGGTCAGACGTGCACATATTAGCTTTAGACTAAATTAAGACTATTCAAAATTAAACTATCTATACATCACTGACCAAGGATTTTCAGATTTTTCTAATTACATATCATCACTAAAAGTTACCTACTTAAATGAAGACTACTTGCCAAATGTAGAAGACAAATATGCAGCACCATTTTAATACAGCGTATAGTAAATTATAGGTTAAACCCTATAGCAAATTAATCATGACCAGAGATGGAATGAGGTGCATCCATGGAAAGATATGTTTAAGAAAAGTCATTTAAGCTGCATCTCTGGTTCTTTAAAATAAGGAAAATGATATCTGACCCACCTACCTCAAAGGGAGCCTGAGTCTTGGGGAGCTTATGAGTCTCAAATAAGTTCTCAACTGTTTTTCCATCTACTCTAACTTGCCAGAGAAACATGACAAATTGCCATTAGTAACCATGGTTTCTCCCGAGACAGTGATTTGGGAGAAACTTGGAAAAAGTCCCAAGTTACCCATCCCAGGTGATTTTGATATTTGAGAATCATGAAAAGCATTTATGAAATCAATCTACAAATTCAAAGTCTGTTGTTTTGGCAAAGCACCAGGCATTGGCTGCTCTTAGAAAATTCATCCTTACCAGTTAATTTATAATCTTTGTGGTATGGCCTACACTAGACTCAATTCTTAAAAAGGACACATAAGGAAGGAAAAAGAAAACTGAAATCAAAATAAAACTAAATCAAAACAAAAACCCGTAGCCCCCATTCAAAAATCGGAAGTTTAAAACATACAAACCTAAAATCTTTGACGTCTGCGTCAATCCCATTCTGCACTGGTAAACCATTGGTCTTGTCCATCACATCACCCTCCTCCTTCAAATCTCCTAGCTTATCTCCATCAAACGTACCCTTGTTCTTCTTTTCACTTTTGTCGTTTTCATCACTGTCTGCATCCCTTGGGCCCTGTTTAAAAAATAGCTTCAGCTTCACTAATCATCAACTAATGATAGTGGGCAACCACTGTGGACACCAGACTATACTAAATTCTAATTAGAACAGGATAGTGTCTGCCCTTTTAAGACATTACAATCTAATTAACAGACAACACAGCGGCAGGAACACTGCAGAAAGTCTTGTCAAATGAGGGAGACAGACATACATTTATGTTACAGAGTTTAGGACAGTCTTACCACGCCCAATGTCCCACCATCCCTTTTTTTTCCTTTCTACCAGAAGCCCGGCCAAAACTTTGTATCTTTTGTCCCTCTTCTCTACTCTCAAATCTAACTCTATGTAATAGCGTAACTCCTAAGAAGCTCCTGGTATTGTATCTGGAAGTATAATTGGAAAAATGTTAAGTCTACAAAAAAAAGAATCTCCTACTTCAACACTGCCTATGTAAACTCCTCCCTTACTTCCAAATATTGAACTAAGTGTGGCCTGACATCATTCCAATTCAGTTACTCTTGAGATACACGCCTTGCCAGTTTGCACTACTCCCACCCCTAGTTCCACCCTGTACCTCACAGCGTATTGCATCTTCACCAATAATCCTTAACTTCGATTTTTTTATCCTTCAAAACATGTTAAATCTAGCTATGATATTCTTCCACCAATCTCTCTATCTATCTACCCATCTCTCTGCCTGTATCATATTAGATTATTTTAAGATTACATGGAGTACGTTACATTGAATCACTGATGCAGCAGAATTTATCTTTGAAGTGTTTCAAACTGTGAATAATGAAGGACTGGACCTAAAAGAACTGATGTGATGCCAAGCATGCTGATGTCCTGTTTTCTAAAGAAATTAAATCTGTCTCCTCTTACCAACATTCTAAGTTAAGACCTGGACATATGAAGCTAATGTGCCTTGATTTCCAAAAGGAAAAGAAGATGTAGTGGTGTGACATGACGTGGTACAGAGAGTTTGGCACAATCTTACCAAAGGGTAGCTACTATTTTTGTTAAAGTAGACAGAGGCAAACTCCCTTGTCCCCCACCTCTGACTTCTGGTTTGAGGAAGAAACAAACAAACAAACAAAACAAAAACCAGATCAAATTAAAGCTCCTGGTAAAAGGCAAAATCAAATCAGAAGATGATGAGTGCTGCTGTACAGCATCTCCAGCCACCACAACCAAATTTCCTTGGGGAGAAATCAATAATGGAGGCTGGAGCAGCAAACAGTTGTAAACGGGTAGGCCTCCAAATGCAAAACATACAAGTGCTCTCAGAGTAGTTCTTAAAGATCTCTGGCTAGAAAAGGGGACTCATGTACCATGATATGTTTAGACCTTTCAACTACCAGTTCAGAGTCCATTGTACTTTCAAAAACCACTCTCTGTTCAAATGCAACACAGAAAAAGAAAGATGTCGTGGCTAATATGAACAAAGGAATATATACAAGAAGAAACTAAGGATATATAACTTAGTTTCATGTGGCATCAAGATGATATATCACAGTCTTGGCAGCCACTGAGTTGTGGCTTTCACAGCAGAATCTTCAAAGTATAAGATTGTTGGTGGTTCAAAAGGAGTGAGTGGCAGCTAATTAAGCACCACAGTGAGATCTCAAAGCAAAGCTGAAAATATGACAGGTTTCTTAAGACAGAAAGTTATTTCAAAATGTCCAGAGACAATAGCTCCCTCTTACTGCAAAGGTAAAACTGACAGAAGCTCTTTCATTTTCATATCCCCAGCATTAAATACAGTGCCTGGCAGAAGCTTAAAAACTATCACAAAGAGAACTGTATTATAAAAAAAAATTCCTATAAAATTTAACTCTGAAAAGAAGAAGGATCCTCTCCCACTGTCTTTAGATGAGAATCCCAGAGGTGGAAATATTAACTACATAGATTAGACATGATCAATGTTGATAATAGAGCATTAAAAGGATCATACAACTAACACACCTCAGTCACTTTCCACAAATCTACAAATGAAGTCACTGGCTTAGAAGGAGCAGCTAAGCTCCAACATCTCACAAGGAGTTCACAAGGTCTGTGGGCCAAAGTGGGAAGATGATGGGATAAAGTAGTAGTAGGAGGTTTCACCAACAAGCAAGAAATCTGGTGACAGGGAGACTCACTCGTCAAATCAATGCTCTGTGTTATCTTTCCTCAGTGACCCTTAACAAGGGCTTGCTGAGAAGCTTTTTGGCCAGTCTGGAAGCAGACTGCTGTAGCCTGAAAACCTGGCCACTGATACTTACATTCTCAATTATATAGCTAAAGGCTAGGTTTTCAAAGGTAGCCCTGGAGGTGGGCTGCTTTTCACCTATACAGCCCAGTCAAATAAAATATAGCTGCCTGGTTTTCTACTCCGAGTAGGTTATTAATGCCTCCGCAGAACAGTAGGTTCCTTCTATTTGAAAGCGGGGGGGGGGGGTCCCAAGGGAGTCTTCCATTCCTTGATATAGATGTAGGGGTGTATTCATTTTGTAAAAATTCATGAAGATGAACACTTACAAGTTACAAACTTTTCTATACATAGGTCATGGTTCAATATAAGTTTACTTCAAAGGAAAAAGTTCAGTAAATCAACAACAGGCCTAAATAAAAATATTGACATAAAGTCTGATTTCTGAATGGTACCAAAAGTCAAAAATCTAAATTATTATGAGAATACAGGATTCATGATCATAAAAATGGTCCTTCAGAAAAGTGAAGACTGGGGGTATAAAAAGACGGGTACATTTTACGGAATTGTTTTTAATTGTTTTAATGTTTAAGATAAGGTGTGTTCACAACTACACGGTATTTAAGAAAGTACTAACTCAGACTGCACAGAATCTATATTCTATTTCAATTACCTACACATACTGGTCACAGGACTTTGAACAGGTTATTAAACCTGAGCCTTAGTTTTCTCATCTCTAAAGAGTAATTTTGTTTAAAACACAGTAGTTCCAAACATTTATGAAATAATACATGTGCGAAAGCTTTGTAAAATATAAATCATTTTATACAAAAGTAATGTTAGTAAAAGCTATGCACTAGGAAGGTATTTCTTATATAACATTATCTGTGATGTTAAGATTAAAATCTTAAATGCCCCAATTAAGTAGTTTAACTTTAATATAGGCATATATAGTTAATATGACCCTACTAGGGACACTGTCATTTTCACAATGCAATGGCTCTATGATTAGTCTGAGTATCACAATCTTTTTAAAATTTACGAGTGTCTGGGCTTGCTCCCAGAGATTCAGACTTAATTAGTCTGTACAAGTTCCCACAAATGTTATAAAAGAGTTCTGCAGTAACTCCAATTAAGCGGTCACAACTGAATACCACTGTAATTAATTCCAACATAAACATCATAAAAGCAGAGTTTACATTTTGCGTTTTTACCATACACTACCTAGTATATAATAGTACTGGAAAAGTCTATTTAGCTAAATGAAAGAAAAAACAAAAAAGGGTTAATAGCATCTTTTTATTGTGGATTTCAATGTCAACCCAAGCCTGTAGTATTCAAATACAGGCTTCAGTAAGGGCTCAAAATGTAAGTGGCCAGGCCCAGTCAAAGTCTCAAGAGTTGGGCCAAGAAGGGCTCTGTGAGACCCCAGATCTACAGAGGCAGAGGAATGTTCCATTGCTAGATATTAAAGAACTGAGAAAAAAGCAGACAGAGGAACTATATATTTTAGAGATCATAGTACATCCACTTATGACTCAGCTTCCACAAAAGTCTCATATAACAGGAGGAATATTTCAGGGAATATCAGTTAATTCTGAGTGAAGTTGAAGAAATGAGAATTTAATTTGCAATAAGTTGCAAATGATCTTATCACAAAGCTCCATATGGCACAAGTTATATTTAATGAAATTAGTAACTTTCCTCTCCTCTTTTTAAAAAGGCATATTTAACATATCTGATTGACACACTGAGTCCAGAAACCCTAACATTAACTAAAAAATTGTTTTCTCCTGCATATATTGTGTTTTTTACAAAATGCCAAAGAACTGAAATGTCAATTTCCTTTAAAGTTCAGCAGTTTATAGCTCCACCAATAATAAAAAACATTTTTTTTGAATTATTAAAAATGGTGTGGCTCAGTCGACCCGCACCAACCTGCAGACCAAAAGATTACCAGTTTGATTCTCAGTCAAAGCACATGCCTGGCTTACAGGCCAGGTCCCAGTTAAGGGTGTGCGAGAGGCAGCCGATCAATGTTTCTCGCATATTGATGTTTCTCTCCCTCTGTTTCTCCTTCCTTTCCCCTCTCTCTAAAAAAATATTTTTAATAAGTATTAAAAAATGAGTAAAAGTTTTGAAATCACTAGCCATGTGAATTGAATTACTCTTTTAAATTGACCTATTACATTCTATGAGGAACTCAACTAATAAACAAACCAGTATGACATAACAGAAAGCAATATAGTTAAGAACTGAAATTAGAACAAAGTTGGAATCCAGGCACCATCCCTTTCAAGTCTCATTTTTCTCACCTATAAATTCAACAGTTACCTCAAAGGGTTGTTTCAAGGATTAAATAAGACAATTCATGAAAGAGCAATTCTTTTTTTAAAAAATTCTTAGCAGTAGTCTATCCAATTTTCATTTTTTACCACTGCCTTTTTTTTAAACACACCGACCCTCACCTCTACTCCCCCAAAGCTTCAAATTGCTAGACATCTCATGTTTTCCTCACTGGAAAGAAACTGTTAGGGTTCTAATCATTAGATTCTTTGTCCCACTGATTTTTTTCTGAGATATGCATAGAAAATCCACCACCAACTACACCTCATCAAATCTGAGACACCATCAATTTGTAAGACACACAATCATTTTACATGCTGCTAAAAAGGAAACACTGGGCATACTGTTATTTGAAAGATGCATCCCAACTTCAAAATGAACAAAGTAAGGAGGTGTGCACTTTAGAAAGAGTGGAGCACAAAATACACCAGGCACTGTATATATGATCACCAAATTCCTGGTGTGCAGAAAGCTAAGTGTTTCAGTCTGTTGTGTAACCACTAGATCCAGAAGAAAAAAAATATATCTTAAATGTGTAGAATGGTATTGGTTATTACAGAAATCAAAACCAAAAATAGGTTTTCTAAAAGTTTCTTTTAACTTTTTATCTAGCCAGTGTCTAAAAACTTGACACTGCATGTAGATTTCACGGAAGCTCAATTCTGAATGAACTCCACTCTGTAAAAAAAGTTTCTGTATTTGATCCGCAACTTCCTGGATAATTTAAACTTCCAAGGAAATCATGTCTTATCGTAGTATTTAACAGACTTTAATATGCATACAAAATCATCTAAGGGTCTTGTCAAAATGCAGGCTTTGATTTAATAGGTCTGGGCTAGGGTCAGAGATTCTGTATTTCTAGTAAGTTTCCAGGTGATAATGATGCTACTGGCCCACAGACTTTGAGGAGCAAGATTTTACAAGGTTTACAAAGCATTTTCATATATATTACCTAGTCATATGAATTAGACTTTTGGGTTTTTAATTAACCCCATTTCTCAGGTAAGGAAATTAAGATCCAGTTGAGACTTAAAACCAACTTTTATCTTCATTATATAGCATAAGTTGTTTAAACAAAGTAAATTAAAGTCACACTAGTCACTTAAAATAAATGCAGTAAAGACCAGAAAAGCAAGTCATCAAATTTTATGACCCAAATGAAGTGCTGCGAGTATACAAGCACCCTCCAGGTCAGAAGGCAGGCAGTCTGCACAAACAAGCAGAAAGGCCTCCCACGAAGCTTTTACTAAAAATCTTTTCTCTGAGATTTGCGTGGTCTTCACCCTAATTGAGGTTTACAGTGGTCTTTCTCATTTCACTGGGTACCATAAACCAGAAAAGATAGAAATTATGAAAGACAGACGTTCTGGCTGGCTAGCCTTCAATCTATTTGAAGATCAACCAGTACTAAAAGAATCAATTCTATAGCAGTCCTTAGAAAATTTTACCCAGTGGCCTCAAAATATCATAGTTACATGTGATTTTGTAACCATTCTGAACCATGATTTTGGGGGGATGGGAGGTTTATTCTAGGAATAAAATGATAGAGAAATAAATTAATTAAATGAAAATAAAAGACGACCCTGACTTAACTGGTATTCTGAGGTTTCCTATTCTGAAACTGCTATCCTGAAGTTTTTGTTTCCTATGTGGAATACTACCAAAAAATTTATAGTGCCTGCTAGGAACAAAATACTGCTATCAAATTCTAATTGTCAGCCTGAAAGTATTCTAATCACAGAAGCCAAAACTACTAAACTGAATCCGTTTCTACAATCAAAATGAACTTTGAAAAGCTAGACAAAGAGTTAAATATACCTTCATTCCAGCTGTAGCCAGAAAACATTACTGAAAATGGAAAACCACTCTATAATGAGTAGATTGCTTTGATTCTAAACCAAGCCTTCTTTAACTGAAAAGTTAATCAGAGTCTGGATTACCTGCTGTCAGTATCCGAGGATATGATCCCTTAGTATTTGTTTTGAGGTCCACATTCATTATGCCATCAGAAAGGATGTTTTCTGCTCTAGGGGATTAAAATGAGGCTTTTCCATGGCTTAGTGAAGGTAATGCTGGTACAGCCACCCAAAAAATAAAAACATCTGAGTGTTCTGACCCCAAAACCACCAATTACCCACCCTTTAGTATTATTAGCTATAAGAAACTTACTGGCCTCTGAATTCAACACTTTGAAGGACAGACTAGATTTTTTTAAAAAGCTCACCTTTTCCAAGAAGAGGCATGCATATCATGACAATCAAAGTGATTCAGGTTTCCATGACCAGAGCTTTGGTCAGATGTTATCCTAACCAACAGGCAGAGCAAAGCCAGGTTGGGCATAAGATCAGCAGGATACAACCACAAAGTGATAAAGTAGTTTACTGATCCTCAGGCATCCATCCACCAATACTGAATATGCCAATGTGATAGCTTGATGTCCCTGACCAGTCCCTCCCATATTACACTTTAGATGGCACCCAGGTCAAACTAGGGAATAATATTTCATTACACACAAGCATCCTTCTGAGAAGAAGCTGGAACACAGTTGTGCAGAATTTTCATTTATCTTAATGCAAACCTCAGAAGCTCAGTAAATCATCTGATTGTTAATGTTCAACTTCACGACCTCTGTCCTGAGGTCTTAACTTCTGGTGACAATACCGTTAAGAGCTAAAAATCACCAGTCTCCCAAAACAACTAAGGATGGAAGTTGTCTTTATAAATACAAATACAAGACATAGTGCAAAAGGTATAGCTTTGTCATAAGATTAATTAATGAAACAATTGTTTAAAAAGAGAAAATCAGCCCTGGTCAGGTAGCACGGTGGTTGACGCATTGTCCCAATACGCCAAGGTTGCGGGTTTAATCCCCCGGTCAGGGCACATACAAGAATCAACCAATGAATGCATAAATAAGAGGAACAAAAATTGGTGTTTCCCTCTCTCTCTCTCTCTCTCAAATCAATAAATTAAAATATAAAAATAAAATATATTTAAAAAAAGAAAAACAGACCAAAAAAATCATCCAATCCTAGCATTTTATCTTTCTCCCTATTCCAATTATTTTTCTGCCTCCTGCAAATTTCACTATAACTCAGGCACACACCTCGTGAATAATATACGATAATTAGAAACTGATGCATAACAGAGAATTCATGGCAAGAGTCCTCGGGTTCCAGTTCACCACACTAACAACTTACCTATACACAATACTAAGTTTTCTCCTAAAGTAAATAACTAAAAGTTATTGGCAGAAATTAGAAGGCAGCAGTTCCTATGAGGAATTGTGCTCATGAGATAATATGACAACAAAAAAAGAGGTAAGCTGGGGATGTACTAACACCATTCTTCCTACAGGACAATAAGCAAATGATCATTTTTGCCTGATCCCATTCCCCACATTCAAAGGGTAGATCTTGTTTCCCAAGCAGCCTCTTGGGAAGGTTCAAATAAAAACTGTCTTTTCCTATCTGGATCCACAAGCCACTAAACCTGACCAACATCAGTCAAAAGACCCAAAACAATCAGGTCAGCTTTGGAATGGCTAGCACTCAAGACTAAGACAAAAGCCCCAGATTAGTTCCTTGATCTTCCTATGGGTTGATCCCCTTCTGGCTAAATTCCTCACACTAAAATTCTAGATGTGGAGATGGGAGAAATCCAAACCAGCCTCTTAAATAGTTCATTTCACTTCATTCTTTTCTGGTTTTTCTGTGTGATTAAAAGCTCCAGGCATGTCAAGTGCCAATGTCAGTGGAAGCATCGCCTTAGACATGCCTAGAAGTACAGTTCCGTGTGGACCTGTTCTCTTCATGCCAACAAATCATTCATTTAATATCCACTAACATATTAAAGAACTGTACTTCACACTTGAGAAAGCTGCACCAAAAATGAACTATTGTTATTTTAAAGAAGTTTCGAGTGGAATGGAGAAAATAGTACCAAGACTCTGACACCTAGCAACAGATGTATACCAATAAAAATACTGACAACAAATGCTGTAAGATAAAGAAAGCTATGGAGGAAAAACTAATATGTTTTGGGGGCAGGGGAGGTCTCTTAAATGACTGCTAACAAGTAGTATTAGCCCAAAAAGACTTGGGGGAGAAAGAGCTTCGAAAAGGTATAAAACAATCTGAGTTGCGGACAAAAGAGGGAAGAGAAATTCAGGGTGCCTCTCATGGCCTTCTTATCTGTGACTTGAATATAAAACAAGTCACAAAATGCTAAATGAGAAAGACTCAAATATTTACATCTTAAGATCTAGAAAGTCAATGACATAAGAAAGGACCAGTTTTAAGAAAGGCTATCAAAGATGCTTGAGGAGGACTGCTTAGACTTAAAAAGAAAGAGCCTGTAGACATAGATAGAAACTGCTTTGGTTAAAATATGGCATCAGAGAAATCAATGGTAATGAATTTGAAAAAAAAGTACAGATATAGAATTAACAGAATTTCTAATTTTCTGACATGTTGGGTGTGAGAAACAAAGCTGTTCAAAAAAGGTCAGAGATCATTCCATAACTAAAGCCTAGCTAGCAAAACAAGAACGATCCTACGTAGCTGATCCATTTTAAGGATTCTTGGGTATATACAAATCACTGTTGTCTAATCTATTCACTAATACCCCAGTTTCAGCTTTATTTTTTAATTCCTATGCTTTTTATACTTTTTTTAAACTAAAAATGGTGTTTTCTGGTAGACCAATGAACTGAGACCTAGATTTCAGTTCTTACCTCACATTACTATCAATATGTCCCCCAAAAAACAACATTTCTCTACTTTTAAGTTTGTTTTTTTACATCTACTAATTTCAGTAAGTGTTTCATAATACTCTGTCATTAGTGCTGTGAACATCTAAGGAAACTAAACAGGCATGTTTTGTTTTAGGGGATAAAAAAAAGAGAGAGAGATAGGAACAAGTTCCTCAAGCCAACTTACAAATCCTCCTTTTCTTAGACAGGAATCGCCCGGGGATGAGCTCAACACATACTCCACCATGCTAACGCCTAGTCCCCCACTCTCCGACCGTGGGGACAGTACAGAATTGACCTCACTGTTCACATGGAAACTCTGACCAGGTCTTCTCTGCACCATGATTGGCTGGGAAACTGAATGATCTACAAAAAAGATACACAAGCATGATACAGTGCAGCCAGAGGCTCAAAACAAATTACGAGTGATGTCTCATGGATAAACCAATGACTGGGAATCAGGAAACCTGTCATGGTCAGTTGAGCCAAAACCTTCTATTGTGTTTTTCCCTAAGTATAATATTCTAAATAGCTAAAGAAAACGGAAGACACCCCTCATATATCCAGGACAGCAGAGCAATTCAGCAGTTCACACAACTTTACCTAGCTTAGTTAAATAGTTTATCTAGCTTGGTTTAATCTAGCTTAGTGGATAAATTAATGTTTACCCCTTTCAGGTAGCAGAATTTCTTTTTAATACATTTTATTGGTGTTACTACTAAAACAAAATATGGTTTTACTGCCCTTTTTAAAAACAACATAATTTGATCTTTTCTGATGACTTGCTGTTATTTGAGGTTCCATTCTTACATTGTGTTTTAACAGCATATCAGCTTTTGGGTTTTCTTCCTTCCTCCCTATGATCTGTCATTTCTTTCTGTGGTCAGTGTGTTCACTTCTACAAGTTCTCCCCATTCCTCTTCAAGGGTAGTGTGTCAGAAGAGCATCTGTGCCCAGTGACTTAATTTGGCCCCAAACACATTCATAGATAATTCATCTCATACACATTACACAGGTGCAAGGGGAGGAAAAAGAAACATAACTTCAAATGGCAGGCATGGATTTTCTACTTCCAAGTATGCTGACAGCAGTACAGAACAAGAAGTTATAGTTGAAATTATGGTCATTTCAAATAAGACCATTCCCCTGAGGCTAGCACTTCAATAAAATATTGAAGATTTGATTTTGTGTTAATTATGTTTTAATAAATTACAGCATATAGCTCCTTCATGGCAATTATACTACAGGACAGGACATTGCTTGACATGCTTATGTCACTGATATAAAATTCATGACTTGCCAATTGCTGAGGAAAGGAGCTCTAAGACAGGCATAAATCACAGTACAGATGCTAGATCTAGATTACCTGATGTTCCCCAGGCACTGTCTCGCCATTGATCACCCAGGAATATTCCTTTTGGTCCATCTTTGCTGGATTCATCTGTTTCCCAAAACTTTTTACCTGGCAAGAGCTGCTGCAAATTAAAAATAATAGATGCTTTTAAAGAATTCATAAAGGATGAAAGTACAGCAGTCAACACTTTCTTTTAGACAAGGGTACTGAAGATGCTCATGTGCCCTGAAAGTCTTTAATCAGTGTTCTGGCTACATAGGTCGTGGTCAGAGCACTATTGTACATTTGGCAAAAAGTCAGAGAGGCCTAAGGCAAGGGTGGAGGGGGAAAGCTGCACAGATCAACCCATCACAATAGAGGCTCTGCTTAAATTTCTAGATTTATTCACTTAACCTATGCCAAGGTTTTTAAGGGGGGGAGGGGAGACTAATAGTACATCTATTAGCTAACTGCTTACTAAGAAGTCTCTTACTGAAAAAAGTATTTACAACTACTAAAACACTCCTGCCTACATGGGTAATGACCATACAAAGTTACTCAAGCTAGAGTATGAACTCAGACCCCACCTACAGAATGCTGGAGGCAAAATCCACCTCCTTTATATACCGAGATTCTGTTAACCAAAACACTTTCATCACCAGAAAGGAAGAAAAAAAAAAAGTTTCCCAACTACATCATTAACTTATTCCAAGATTTTGGAAGGACAGTACAGCTGTCTTTCCCCATTACTGGAAGAGAAATAAAAATCTCCTAACCTCAATTAATTTTAACAGTGCTTTGTAATGCCATTAACGTGACTTCACAAAACATTCTATGCTTCATAGAAATCCAGGCATCATGGCCCTAAACCAATACGAGAACTTTCAACAAGCTTCAACCAAAGAAGTGCAAAGTACCCTTCAAGCAAAACACCGTATAATTTTGCAAAAGATCAATCAAAGCATTCATAACCAGAGTTACAAAATAAAATTCCACTAGAATGTCATCATTCTTCATTCTCTTGTCATCAGCTTTACCCACTGAAATGTCCCTCTTTATTTCTTCTAATTATGTTTTCATTTCAGCTGCTACTAGTCAGACAAGAAATTCAGGTGTTTGAGACAGTACTTAATCACTGCTTTTGAACATAAAAGAGCACACCTGCAGAGCTGAATTTCTCAGAGAGAGCGCAAACCATTTGCTCTCCTCCACAATATGTTTACCTTTCCTATACAAAACCCATCACCCAATGAAAATGGAGGAATAATGCAATCCTGTCCTCACTAAAATGAATTTCAACTTTCCAAACCTAAATTTTAGGTTCCTGAGCATAATTTTAATCCAGTTCTGTAAATCTATCTGACAGACATGGGTTACTACCTGGACCAAAGCAGTTTCCCACACGCATTTCTCTTCAGGTCCTTTTTTCTAATCCAACGAGAGCATGACAGATTACAGATTATGGTCTAGCATCTAGTTACACAGAAGCATAGGTTTACTTCAAGATGAGTAGTTATAAGCAGTCAATTCCTAGTGAGCCTCTCAGGTTCATTCTCTGAGGGAAATAAGGAGACAGCTGGTCTGTTAATTTGAGAAGATCTGAGAAGGCAGGGAAGGAACAAACAGGAGGAAGAGTCCAGACCATATAGGTAAGTAGTAGAATAAGGAAGCCCTGGACCAGACAACCTTCACATGTCCTAGGACAATCACCGAACTGTCCTGGGCCTCATTCTCTTTGCATTGATGAAGGAAATCTTTTTCAAGCTGGTGTGGTGATTTAGAAGTATTGTTGATGAGTGCCTAGCACAATGCCTGCCACATAGTAGTTTCTCAATAAATGTATTCAATGGAATCACAGCAGGCAAAATAGCTGTAAGTCACAGAAGGGATACTGAAAATTAATGTGAACTACTCAAGCACAATTCAAGAACTCTTGTTTTTAAACAACTTCTTTTAGTCTCAAAAATGCCTTCTCACAAGATTACAAATAGAATTTATTTCCCTTTTGGTTGTCCCCTTTCCAATTAACACTCTGATTTATTTTTACCTCCTATAGTTTGTAGGGAGTGTGAGCAAACAGGAGCCCACAACTACTTACTTCTCTTTGGTGTGCCAAAAGAAAAAACATCAGCAAAAGGGGCACCTCACTTGTTAATGTTATTCTCCATGTAACAGTGGAAAGAGAGCTAAGGTGATCAAAAATATTCATTTTAGCGCTCATCCCTCTCCACACAAACTGGGAAATCTTTATTGAAAGCTTAAGGAAAAGCTCCTATAAGTATCAGCCTCCATGTGCAAAATACATATTATCCGCCCATAAATTGTCAAATTGCTTACTGAAAGCAGTCGTCCTTGAATTCAAGGCTTCCAAAATGACTTCTTGGAATCCTGTCATCTTTCACTGTGGCTTACCAGGCTGTCCTAACACATAAAGCCAGCAAAAGCAGCTGAACATACAAGCAAAGCTATATACAAGATAAATTCTCTCAAAAGGAAACAAAAATACAACATGTAGAAAGGCTCTAAAAAATGAAGATTCTATTTCAAAGTGGTAATAAATACAGGTCTCATAGGAATACACACCGAAAACCTCAAGACCCTAGTCGGACACCAAGAGGCCATATATCTCCCACTATCAACAATCAGTATACATAGAAATCCTAAATAGATGCTAGGAACAGCCCCCAAAGAACTAGAACTCAATAAGCTTTGGCAAAGTAGCAGCAAGAAGATCAATCAACTATTATCAATGAAAACAGCAGGGACTGGAAAGGCAAGTCTGTAAGAGATAAAGGTGATAGGAGAGAGGGGGTGGCAGCACGTTGACTGCTGGAGAAAAAAGGTAGAAACTATGGATTGCAAGGGTGCCCTGCAAATGGGAAGGAAAGAAAAGTACTGTACGAAAGTACCTGAGCAAAGACAGAAGCAAACTTACTAAACTCCTTCAGAGTCTCTGGATCTTAAACAGAACTTAGTATTTCTTTCTTCTCTCCAAAATGTTCCCATCTCCACTCCTCAGCTGTGTGGGGAGAAGCATGTGAAATGACTCCTCTGGTACTCATGCCCTTAGTAATACCTGTCCCCGACTGTGGGCTTGCTTCTAAGGAATAACACAAGGCAAAAGTGATGGATTTTCACTCTCAAGATTATGTTTTAAACAATGGACTTCCATCTTGCTTCTACTCCTCTCTTGCTCTCTTGCCCTCATCTCTCTTGTCTGCTCCATGCAGATAAAGCTAGCCGCTATGTTATCAAACCATGAGAGGTCACTGGACATCAATTCATTAGGAATGAAGGCCCTCAGTCCAATAACCTGTGAGGACCTTAATCCTGACATCAACCATGTTGAATATACTTGGAGGCAGACCCTTCCCCAACTGAACTTCAAGACCGCTGCAGCCCCAGCTGAACTCTTGACTGCAGCTTGAGAAGGACCCTGAAATACAGGCTACTGCAAAGCCATGACTGGGTTCTTGACCTCTGGAAACTGTGGGGCTCAAACTGTGTAATTTTAAGCCACTAAATTTTGGAGTGATTTGTTATATAGCAACAGGTAACTGATATAGTTGTGAGTATATGGGGGAGTTTTCTTAGATTCAAGAGACTTCCTTGAGTTTGATTTCAAGAAGCACTTCTTGTTTCATTTCTAATATCTAAAATGCAAGTTAACTTTTGAATTTGGAAATAAATTATATCCATTCCATTTCATGTTATCACCTACTCTGTCTTATAGATCTTATTTAAAAGATGACTGGCTTTTTAAAATTCTCTAAAATCAAATCAACTCAGACATGTTAAGCTTACTGAAAATTAGTAGTAATCACATATTCAAGAGTCAACGGAAATATGTTAGTGTTCAAATCTGATCATATTAAAAGTATAAAATCTACTGAATTATAAAACAAAGTGATATTGAGTATCCAATTGTTATTTCAAAATCAACAGTAACTGATCTGGAGGTAAAGTCATTGACAGCACTGGCTAAAACATGCTGGGGTTCACCAACCCACTGGCATAAATGCCAGCAGTTGCCAAACCTTCACTTAAACCACATCTAAATTCAGTCACCAAAGACTGAAGTGCACCTAGTGGATGAAAAGATAGTTGCAGTTTGCCTACCCCACCAAGAAGCTGGAAATAAATGCTGTTCCTTGACAGCACAAAAAAAAGAACAGATTACAGCAAAGGTTTACAAAATTCACTTAAAAAAAACAAAACACTAGGCAATAAGAGGATTAAAACATTTGATAACTCTGAGAGAAGATAACAAGAATTAGGAATTGGTCCCACAAAAGCAAGATAGGCCCAGGGAGTCAGATGTAAGCAGTATTATCCACTTGGCAGTACTGTAAGTCTATCCTTATTAAAAAAACAAATCAACAACAACAAAAAAAAACACCAATGCATCAGGCTAGACAGGAGCTTGACTACAGTAGCCTAAAACATCCAAGTAACTTCCCTGGTTCAGACTCTGCTTACGAAGCAACCTTTGTATAAGAACTTGGCTTCCTCCAATAGCCAAGCATGCTGATCACTGGACGCAATTATCCTGTCAACTTGAGAGTTATTATTTCTCCTTATAAATTAGTAAAATGCATTACATTAGATTTTTTTACATTAGTCTCTTGTGGTTCTGGTTAGTGTGGGTTAATATCATAATCCAATCATCTCTGAATTAATAATCGAAGTCCCTGTTTGAAGACCTATGAAACTGCAAACAAGGACTTGGGAAAACCTATATCCTCCCCAGCAACACAACAGACCTGAACTCTTCCTTGCAGTATCCCATTAAATAAGATTTCTAATGACCCCTTCTAATGGTGACTATTCTCAAATCCTTGGGAGAAACACACACGATTATCCCAGCTTGAATTACAGGTTTGTAAAAGAGAACGCTTAAAGAGAAAATCAAGTAAGCCTATTCATGGGCTTCTGGAGAACAAAACAGAAATCAAGCATTGGTTTACAAATACTGTTATCCACTTGGGAAACCTCTAAATTTTTATTGGAAATGCCTTTTTTATTTTATCATCCAACAAAAGAGACAATGCACAAAGCCACACTTTTACAATCAATCATTATATTAACCCCTCCTAAGACCCCTTTAAAAGAGGTGGAGATAATAAAGGGCTGAGAATGTCA